GGTCAGCAATTTGAAACAGCCAGCAGCTCTGCTGGAGAAAGATGGGGCTTTCTACTCCCATAAACAGTTACAGTCTTGGAAAATCTTAGGAAAATCACAGTTTTACCCTATTCTGTAGGGTCACTGTGAGTTAATATTAACTTGATAACAGTGAGTGAGGACCCAATGTGAATTTATTCTAAACTTTTAACATTGTCTGTTTTCTGTCAGATTGAGGTTTCTGGTGTGGCCATTGCTGATGGATCCTTCATTGGTGTCTGCCCTACTCTTGTATAAAGAAACTAGAATCGAAGGGAATGTGAGAATAGTAATGGAATTGATGATTACCTGGGGACACAAGGGAGAGGAAGGGAAATGAGAAATCAGCATCAATGTGTGCAAACTGGGAGAAAAAAGGCCAAAAGTGATTACATAGCCCTTCTTGATATGATAGAACTATTGAATTGTATGATTTGTTAATTGTGATTCAGTTTAAAACAAACTCCTAAATTGGAAGGAAGTAGCTTAGAAATAATAAGTGAAACTTCTCATTAAAATCAATTATGTGTATGTGCTCAAATTATATAGTCTTGATTATCTTTGTAACTAAATTTATTTAAAATTATGTGATTGTACCCTTAAAGTGGGTTGATTCTGTCTAGTCTGTAAATTATATCCTAGTAAAGTTGTTAGAAAAACTTTTGTGTCCAACTTAAAGAACACTATTTCAACAGCTCTTGATAACATACTTTGTGAGGGGGGTTTTAAAAGTTCACAGGAAAATTCCATTATCTTTTAATTGCAGTTTCCATAAGTTTTGGAAGCCTCGTATGTATTCTCATATTTGGTAACAATTATAATTAACAATTTTATTCTTAGATATGAAGAAAACAATGTGTGGTTGATGGCTAAATGGAGATTTGGAAGTTATAAAGAGTTTCCACTCAAGATTTGTTTTCACAGGAGGTTCAGAAGTATATATAAATCTTTAAAAAATTTTACAACTATTCAGAATTGATGGTTGTTCATAATGTATTTACTGTCAGAATTCTAAGACATACTGCCTCAGTGACTCTCCTGTGTAACTTTGGGCAAATTGCTAAATTTCATTTCTCAGTATCCTTGTCTTTAAAATTAAGATAATTCATTATCCTTTAACTCAATTTCCCATGAACTTTTGGAAGCACACTTGTTTTATCCTACCTCATAGTATTCTGAGCATTAGATTAGGAGAATGAATTTAAAACAGTGCCTGGCACCTAGTCAGAGCCATAAAAGTATTTGCTCTTACATAATTACTCTATTTTTAAGTAAACATTTTACTGTGAGGTGAAGGATGACAGAGCAGGTCAAGAGTTTTAAATTCAACAGTTCATACACGTTTAGTTTCATCTCATGCATTCCCCCTTCAATGTACCATCATGTAGCCCATATGATAGGATTTATTTCTAAATATTAGGTAATGCATATCTGAGGTCTCCCCCTGCTACGTGATAGGTGTGTTGTGAAAATCTGTGTATCTTTGGCTGAAATAATTTTTTGTAATATCCAGATGGACCATGGGACAATGAATTGAATGTAGAGCTAGAGGATGAGGAAGGAACCTTTGAGGATCAGTGAGCTGTCAGCCACCCTCTGACCCCTGCAGGGGTAAACAGGGCCGCTGCAGGTGACTAATAGGTTGCCAGTATATTTTGTTTTATCTCTTTTTTTCTTACACCTTTTTACAGTTCTTAATACAGCCCCCTTTGTGGGGAGCTGCAGCCTGTCAGTAGCTATGGTCAGAATGGGGCTAGATGGCTTTTGTTTGTTCCTTTCATGATTCCTGGCAGGGTTCTGATACCCTAATACAGTGGTTCTCAACCTTCCTAAGCCCTGACTCTTTAATACAGTTCCTCATGTTGTGGTGACCCCCAACCGTAAAATTATTTTCGTTGCTACTTCATAACTGTAATTTTGCTACTGTTATGAATCAGGCGACCCCTGTGAAAGGGTTGTTCA